ATTGTAGCTAGAGTGCACTCACCTTATGATCCCCACTTCTTACTTTGGATTGATTTACAACATTAATTTATAAAATTACTCGGATAAATTATTATCTAAAATAATTAGTTAAATCCCAATCCCTTGGCAATTTAACCCTTTAATCCCCAATTGGAATCCTAATCCCTTAGCAACCCCTCATGAAAATTAAGCGATGAACTCTATAATTTAGGCATCCACAATTCAATACACATCTATTCCTAACATGCATACGAACCGTTATCCTACCCCCTTTAAGGATGAAAACCCCAATATCTCTACCTAGGGTTCTAACCCTGACACTATTATCAATTATTAGAGTGATCAATTCTAATAAAGAAAATATCAAATACGAACAAGGTAGAGATAAAGATAATTATATAAACGAGCAATTATAAATCAATCCGCGTAACAAGGGTTCACATAGGGTTTGTGACCCTAACTACAATAAAAGAAAACTAGCCAAGCATAATCATGGCTAAAAATAATTCAATATTCAAAAGCATAAAATTAAGGAGAAAAAAGAAGAAGAACTTGATCCCAGGAATCTCCTCAGAGCTCTGCCGTCGTTTCTCTTCAGAAGAATAGGTCTGAATACCTAATTCTATCATAAGGATCCTATTTATATGACTCTTTTCCTTCTCTCAAAAATACCCCCGAGATAACATGGTACTTCTATCCCGCAACCCGGCGCCAGTTGGCACCGGTTTGGCACACGTTTGTGCCACGCTTCTGTCCAATTCCGAAAAGTCGGAACCAAATTCACGTAACCTGGCGCCATCCTTCACCTTTTGGGCGCCAACTAGCGCCACTTCTCCTCACTTTGTGGGCGCCTAGTGGCGCCATTCTTTCTCCTTGTTGGGCGCCTAGTGGCGCCATGATGCTGGGAGGCACCATGATGCTTTACTTTGGCGCCACTTAGCATGTGTTTGGCGCTAAGTGGCGCCATTTCTCTGGACTTTGGCCTGTGCTGCACCCGGGTGGAATTTTCCTCTGTGTGGAGTCGCGTCAACAGGCTTTTATAATTTGTAATTTTCACTCCTCTTTTTCCTGTAAAAACACAACCAAAAGGTGAATATTATTGACATAGAATGAATCAATATAAATAGCAAATATGTATTTAAATTGCTCTCTTATGACCCAATTCTTATCAATTTTAACATGGAAAAACCACACTTGCCAGAGGCACATCAGACCTTAACTTTATTAACCCTATTAGAATCCTAATCCCTTATAAATTCCTTAAGTTAAGCCTTTTAAATTAGTGAATCTTTCACGTTTGCAATTCATGTAGCCTATCCCTAGTGCATATATGAATTGTTATTTTACCCTTTTGTCAGGAACCAGAATCTCAATATCCCTATTAAAAACCCTAACCCTCGCAATATCAATAGAGTGATCGGTTCTAGAAGAATTATAAGATGAAGAACAAGGTAAAATAAATGCAATTGGAATAATTAAATATAAAAATTAATCAAACTACAAGGGGTTCACATCAAGGGTTGTGACCCTTACCACAATAATAAAAGACTAGCCAGACATGTTCATGTCTAACAATTCAATGAATATAAAACAGTTCATAAAAAGAATAAAACCAGAGAAGGAGAAGGATAATTCTTCAATCTTTCAATTGCCAGAAGTTGCTCTCCGATTTCTGCCTTCGTAATTCTCTCTGTCCAAAAGTTCTCCTCTTTTAGGGTTTCCGCCTCCTTTTTATATCCTCTTGCGTGTCTTCCAAAACTGCCCTTCAAAGCACGCGGACAGGTTTTCCCGCAAACTGGCGCGGACACGCGCCACTGTGGCGCAGGATCGCGCCAAACTTCAAAACACGAGGTTAGCTTCCCGCAAACTGGCGCGGACTCGCGCCACTAAGGCGTAGGATCGCGCCAAAACCCTGGAAATTGGCTTAGAGAAACTGGCGTTGACTCGCGCCACTATGGCGCAGGATCGCGCCAACTTTCTGGAAAATGGAAGAAGCACTATTGGATCAAATGGCGCGATTTGCACCATACTCAGCAACTTCAACTTCTCTCCTTCACTTCATTTTTGGTGTTTCCTGCTATTAAAATGCATAAATTGAGTGAGAGAATGATTGAGAAGGAATAATCAGTATTTATAACATTTATGACTATTTTTCAACCATTATTGATTAATTCTTTGCTTCTTTTTCTTAGAAAGCATCATATGCTGGACGCATATCAGGTGTGTGGTAATAAGGAAAATGAACTAAGGGTATGAGAGTCTTTTCCCATTAAGGTGTTTTCCCCATATAACAAACACACACTATCTCTCCTTCCTTCACTTACACCCTCACTCACGATTCTCTCTTTTTATCCATTCACACCAAAATTTCATCTTCATCCCTCTCCCTCAAAGCATCAATCAAGAGGGAAAAAAATGTGGGAACTTAAGTCCGTCTCCTACCTTCCTTTGTATATGTGACCAAGAAAACCCATTTCATTCCATCTTTCTCTGTCACCCAAACTTAACAAAACCCTTCATGCCATCCCCCCCACCACTAGGGGTGGTAAAAACGAGTCAACTCGTCGTAACCCGTCAAAAATGAGCCGGGTTGGGTTGGCAAAACCCACACATGTTGTCATCGTTTTTATTCCTTCTCTAAACCTAAGTCCCTAATCTTCTCAAATCCTTGCCATTTCTATATTGGAGTAAATACCCTTTTTGGTCCTAACAAAAAACACGATCTCCACTTTAGTTCCTAGGGTTACGTGTTTGGCAAATGACCATTTTACCATTCCTTTGTATTTGACCCTAATTTTAGGATTTTCACTAATCCCACCCTTTAATTCACATTTAATATATAATTATATATTTTAGAAATACGAGGTGTTATACCTACCACCACCATGCCACCAGCCATCGCCACAATCACTACCATTATCACCACCACCACCACTATCATCTCCATGCCACCATTACTCCTATGCACACTGTATGTTATCCATATCGTCCTCCCCTATCTATAATTGCAACTTCCTAATCTATAGAAAATATTTAATCAATTTTCTCTAATTTCTAGTATTGGAAATCCGTTGCAAAACCCGTCACAATTTGCAATGGAAACCGATTTTGTCATAAAAAAGGGAGCCATTTTTAAATTTTGAATTTTGAAAAAAGCAAAATTTAAATATATATCCCAAATCCCATCGCAAAATCCGTCACAAATTTTTTATCAATTTCCTCAATTTTCTAGTATTTGAAATCTGTTGCAAATCTCGTCGCAATTTGCGATGGAAACCGATTCCGTCACAAAAAAAGAAGCCATTTTTGAATTTCGAATTTTGAAGAAAGTGAAATTTAAATATATATCCCAAACCCCATCACAAAGTCCGTCACAGATTTTTAACCAATTTCTCCCATTTTCTAGTATTGGAAATCTGTTGCAGAATCCATCGCAATTTGCGATGGAAATCGATTCCGTCACAAAAAGGTAGCAATTTTTAATTTTTGAATTATGAAAAAGTGGAATTTAAATATATATCCCAAATTCCATCGCAAAATTCGTCGCATATTTTTAATCAATTTCCTCCACTATGAAAATCCGATGCAAAACCCGTCGCAGTTTGCGATGGAAATGGATTCGTTCGCAACAAAAGGGAGCCAAATTTAAATTTTGAATTTTAAAAAAAATGTGCAATCTAGTATTTATCAGAATTTTAATATAAAATTTTCCCATTTTCTAGTATTGGACATTTATGAGGGAAACAGATTCCATCGCAAAAAAAGAGAGCCATTTTTTAATTTTAAAAATAAACGAAATTTTAATGTATGCCGTAAATACATTGCAAAATCCGTTGCAAATTCCATTGCAAGTCATATTCAGATTTACCGTCGCAAAATCCATCGCAATATGCGACGGGTAAATTCTAACTACCGTCACAATTTTTCTTTGTCATGTTTGCAAGGGATGTACCCATCGTAAAGTATTCCATCGCAATAAGCCGTCACAATTTTTTCATATTTGCGACGAAATATTTTCTCGTCTCAATTTGCGACGGTATTTGTGACAGAAATGGGACGATATTTGCGACTGTTCTTTTAGGACGATAGTTTAGCTCCAGTCCTGTCGCAATTTTAGTTCCGTAGCAAAGTTTGTTGCAATTTGCGACGGTTCTTTTTCCATCTTAATATCCGTCGTAAATTGCGATGGATAATTATCCATCGCAAATTTCCGTCCCTATTTATGGATTTTCTAGTAGTGTTTATTGAGTAAAAAGAAATTACAAACAATAAGCTTATAATACTAAGTGGATATTAAGAATACGGTAAAGTTATTAAACTCGAATTAATTATTGATCCAATCGAAGTATTGAATTAAAGAGTTATTGATTCAACTAGTGAATCACTTATTGAATTGGTTAAATTAAATTTATACTAAAAGTGCATTTGATAACACTAAAAGTGCATTTTAACCAACGACAAAATATAACCTAATGACAAATGCTATAATATCTATCCTTATGATAAGGGTTCAATTACGTAACCTATCTATTGCTAGAACTGAACCGGGATAATTTTGAGGTCAATCTAACTGCCGATTCGATTTTAATGACAATGGAAAAAAAAAGGAACTTCAAACAATAATAGCCCGTAGTATTTGTAATTTTCTATCAAATCTTTGCAAAAGACAAAAATGAACCAAGTGGCAACTAAGTATAAGTCTCTTTCAAAAACATGTCAAATCCTTGTAATTCTAGCATGCGCGGTGCAAGGATTGTGTGCAAAGTGGAACTAGACCGACATTGCACATGCACAAGACGGTGGGCAACTTGAATGCCCCTCCAATTGCACCAAGTTGAGTCAATTGTGGAGGCTAGATACCACTCATCAATATTTCATTTATGTCAAAGTCAAACCTTTTAACTTAGCTCTTCCTATAAAGAAACCACACTTCCCAAAACCTCATCTCAATAGCACTTATTGAGTTATTTCACCCTTACTCTTTCTCTCTCACCGTTCACCGTTCTCAAATTTTCTTGAAAGAGAAAATGAATCCCTCTCACTCACCCTGCGTTGCCACTACCACTACATTCCTCATCCTCTTTACTATTTGCACACTGCTACACTTAGAGGCCAACGGTGCTAAATGTAATGTGGATGATGAGGCGGGTCTATTGGGTTTCAAATCCGGTATCAAATCCGACCCGTCCGGCATGCTCAAGTCATGGATACCGGGTACGGATTGTTGCATTTGGGCAGGCGTAAACTGCCTATTTGACAACAAACGGGTCACAAGCCTGTCTCTATCCGGGCAACCCGACAAACCCGAAGGCTTCTTGTCGGGTACCATCTCACCCTCCCTCTCAAAACTCCAATTCCTTGATGGTCTCTACTTCCAAGACCTCCGAAACATAACGGGTCCATTCCCGGGTTTTCTCTTCAAGCTACCAAATCTCCAATTCATATACATAGAAAACAACAAGCTCTCGGGTCGAATACCCGAAAACATAGGTAACTTGACCCGATTGGGGGCGCTGAGTTTAGCAGGGAACCGATTCACCGGAACAATACCGAGTTCAATATCTAAGTTGACTCAGCTAACTCAGCTCAAACTCGGTGACAATTTTCTCACTGGGGTAATACCGGAAGCCATTAAAAATCTCAAGAATCTCACGTTTCTGAGTCTAGAAGGGAATCAACTCGGAGGTAACATACCAGATTTTTTCTCATCATTCACAGATCTCAGGATTCTGAGACTTTCCCGGAACAAATTTTCCGGGCAAATCCCACCCTCAATCTCCACGCTATCACCAAAGCTTAGCTACCTCGAGCTTGGTCACAATTCACTCTCCGGGAAAATCCCAGATTTTCTCGGAAAATTCACGGCACTCGACACACTTGACCTCTCATCAAACCAGTTGCACGGAACCGTACCAACAAGTTTCAGGAACCTAACAAAGATCTTCAACCTCGACCTCTCCGAAAACTTCCTCGTCGACCCATTTCCCGACATGAACGTGAAAGGCATCGAATCGCTCGATTTGTCCCATAACATGTTCCATTTGAGAGAAATTCCGAAATGGGTCACTTCATCTCCGATTATTTTCTCTCTGAAGCTCGCGAACTGTGGGATAAAGATGAAGCTTGATGATTGGAAGCCTTCGGAGACATACTTCTACGATTTCATTGATCTTTCAGGGAACGAGATTTCTGGGAGTGCGATTGGGCTGGTGAATAAGACAGAGTACTTGGTGGGGTTTTGGGCTTCGGGGAACAAATTGAGGTTTGATTTGGAGGGTTTGAGGATTGGACAGAGAATGAAGTATTTGGATTTGTCTAAGAATTCGGTGTTTGGAAAGGTTCCAAAAGGTGTTGTTGGGCTTGAGAAGTTGAATGTGAGTTATAATCATCTTTGTGGTGAGATTCCAAAGACCAAGTTCCCAGCTAGTGCATTTGTTGGAAATGATTGCTTGTGTGGTTCTCCTTTGCAACCCTGCAAATCGTAGTGGCTACTGGCCTTCATCTTCCTCCTTGTTTTCATTGCTTCTTTTTTCGGGCTTTAGTTGTTTGATTTTATTTTGTTTAAGGGATTTAATTATGGAAAAAACTTATCTAGTTTTAAAGGTGGTAAAGTTCACTTAAGAGAAAGAGATAAATCATGGAGGGGTGAATGGACAAAAATAAAATAAAAAATAAAAGTGAGTCTCGTCTCTTCGTCAAAATTAAATGACATAAGTTGTGTCATTTAAATTGACAAATACTTTTTTTTTCAATTATATAATTTGAGTTATATATATAATATGAAAGCTTTGAACATCTTTAAGATAATAATCAAGTGTAGCTCTTGGCTTAGCTAAAAAATTTCAATCATCATTATCATGTCTAATCTCACTTATTTCCTATTATTTATCTAAATACATTTTTTCTTAACTTAATTTAATATTACTTGATTATCATGTTACTACATTTAGATAGACAAACACGTTAACCCCTTTCAATTAGTTAATAAAATTGAATTCTTCTTTCCTTTCTTTCCTTCTTAAAATTTTTACTTAGGATAATTAAATCTATGTTGGCCCCTTTATTTATTACTTAAGAGTATCCTTATGAAGGAAATAAATGTCAAAATATCTACTTTTTAAAAATTTGAAGTACAAATAAAATTTAAACACACATGCATATATTAGACTAGAAATTATAGTACTTTAATAAAATTTACTCATATCTCTTATGTTTAGTGATTTGGGATACAATTACCAAGATGTTACAACTTCAAGGGCTTTTTGACCCTTATGCCCCTTAATTAATAATTAATTACCAAATTGCCCCTCATTCAAAACTATTTCGAAAATTTACCCTCCCCAACAAACATAACACCAATCTGCCCCTGTTTGACCGTTGACCACGAAGCCTACCCGGGTACACCATTACCTACCCGGGTAAATTTTGAAACTTTTTATCTACCCGAGTATGTAGGGATGTACCCGGGTAGAGTTCTTGAATCTGGGAAAATGTTTGAATTATTTACCCGGGTACGGAGCAGTGTACCCGGGTAAATCGCGTCCAGAAACCCCAATATGTATGGGTTTCGGCCATTGTTGCGAGGTATAGGGTTTTTGAAACCCCAAAATCTTTCTCTCTTACCCTCTCTAATCCGAAACATCACACATATTTCATCTCATCATTTCAGAAAGCTGAATCTTGGTGGGACATTGAGATTACATCTCCACACTCCCATTTTGTGCTAAAAAATCCGAACCAACCTCCAAACCCAAAACCTAGATCTAATTTTTGTGTGAAAGATGAGTTCAAGTCCAAACATGGTTCCTATAGTTGTTTACTACAATGGGAGGCATTTTGAAGGTCCGAACGGTGTCCGATTTGAAGGAAAAACAAAAACGATGAAAATCAAAGTGGGCACTACATGCAATGAACTGAAGGAGAGAATTCTTCAAAAAATGGGGTCAGAAGGCATACATTCCATCCACCGCATGATAGCCAGGTTAGAGACTGTAGTGGATATGGATACAATATACTACATTGGAAACGATATAAATGATGATGAAGATGTGGAGTTCGTAACAGATGCGTTTGTTGAATGGAAAGTATTAAAATATATTGAGATATATGTTGAAGTTGATGTTGGACAATCTTCATCTTTACCGGTGCATACAACCACTACTGCACACTGTACCGGTCAAGAAGATACAGTTGTACGATCTTCTGCACCTCCTCAGGTAGCATGGGATGAGGATGAAGAGGATGAAGACGAGGACTATGTGGACAGCGAAGATGAGGGAGAACCTGAAAGTGCTATTCCAGAAGGTGATTCGTCAGACACTGACGTGGACGGTAATTTTGAGGCTGACATGAGCGCCGTAAGTCTCGGTACCCCAGCCTTGTCACCACTTCATGTCGACCCAGTCAGTAGTGGTAAGTTATTAAATTTGAATATTTGCTTTAGACAATTTATTATTTGTGGTAAGTTATTAAATTTGACATGATCTTTAGATGCAGGGTCTGAGGAGCCATTCTGGAATGAAAGCCAACATTATTCATTCATTAACTGGGCGCACCCTAATGACGAGTTGGAGATCCTATATGGCGATGATGACTTGCACGGAGGTTGGAAGTTAGGAGATCCGTTATTTGTGCAACAAGAATTTGGGTCCAAACCAGAATTGCAACATGCTGTGAAGATACATTGTATGAAGGGGCGCAGGACAGCCATAGTTGAAAAAAGCGACGAGTCAAGATTTGTTATGAAGTGTAAAAACCATGCTGACGGTTGTCCCTGGTATATGAGGGCAATTAAGCCGAAGAAGGGAGCTAACTGGGTGGTCCGTAAATGGGGTCAAGGTCACACATGCCTAAATCAAGGCCTAGCACAGGATCATAGACAGTTGGATTCAAATGTCATTTGTGCGGCTATAATGAGTATGTATTCCACTGTTTATTTAATGATTCAGATTAATTGAGAATATGGTAAAGTTAATTTTTTTTTCCAGATATGTTAAAGGAAGATCCATCCACAAGACCAGCTCTGATACAGGAGAGGATACAGGGAACATATGGATACAACATAACGTACAGGAAGGCCTGGAAGGCAAAAATGAAGGCCATCGTTAAGTTGTTTGGTGACTGGGAGAAATCGTACGCATTCTTGCCAAATTGGCTGAAGTATATGACGGAGGTGAATGTGGGTTCTGTGTTCAAACTTGATACAAATCAATGTTTTGATGAACGTCGGGTTTATACAGACAGGGCCGTATTTCAAAGGGTTTTTTGGACATTTCACCAATGCATTGAAGCATTCAAACACTGCAAGCCTATAATTCAAATTGACGGCACTCATCTGTATGGGAAGTACAGAGGTACTCTATTGATTGCAACATCTCAGGATGGAGATGGATTTCTGCTCCCTATTGCCTTTGCTGTTGTTCCTCCAGGTGAGTAAATAATTTTGCTTTGGGGTATGTGAAAGCATGTGACCCTTCTTTGCCACTTCATACTGTAAATAATTTCTGAGCTCATCCCTATTGACTTTGTTGTTGTTCCTCCAGGTGAGAGGTTGGATGATTGGTCCTGGTTTCTTAGCCTTTTACGTTTTCATGTCACACATAGGCATGGTATTTGTCTAATATCCGATCGTCATCGAAGCATCATAAGGGCGGTGAAAGACCACGGAGGGTGGCAGCCTCCATATGCTTATCATGTATTTTGTCTACGTCACATCGGAAGCAACTTCAATACCCGTTTTAGGAATGTGGAATTGAAGAAAACGTTGATGAAATTAGGTAATGTACGGTATAATTACTCACATTTTCAACCATTTGAAGAAAACGTTGATGAAATTCACTAACCAATGCATATGTCATGGTTTTTTGCAGGGTACACATGTTCAAAGATAAATTTCGACATTAGGTACAAGGAATTTATCGAGAACAATCCTGAAGTTGCTTCATGGTTGGATGCGATTCCGAAAGAGCAATGGTGCAGGTCGTATGATGAGACAGGACGTAGGTTTGGTCATATGACAACTAACCTATCTGAGTGTGTGAATAAGGTGCTTCGTGGAGCACGAAATCTGCCTATATCTGCATTGGTCAAGATGACATTCAGTAGACTCGTTGAGTATTTCGTCAAGAGACGTGAAGGGATTGAAAAAGATATCTCACAAGGTTGGATAATTTCAAAGAAGGTTGAGGCAGCGTTGCAAAAAAATGATGAATTGGCTGGCACTTATCGTGTGAGGATATATGATAGTGACCTGTTATTGTTTGAGGTTGAGGATGCCTACAATCAATCTACACACGAGGTCGGTGACATCATGAGAGTGGACTTAATCAATCGTACATGTCAGTGTGGTAGGTTTACAGCAAGGAGGTATCCCTGCAGTCATGTATTAGCAGTTTGCAAGGTAGCCAAGCTAAACCATTATGATTATGTGGATCATGTTTTCAAAATTCCAACCATTGCTAAAGTATATGCTGCACACTGGTTTCCTATTGGCAATGAATTGTTGATTCCATCCGTTGTTGGGCCTACTGTAATTCCGGATGCTCAGTTGGTACGTGCAAAAGGAAGACCAAAGTCTTCAAGGATTCAGAATGAGATGGATTGGGTTGAGTCTCAACCCTCTAGCAGTCAGAGCAGATGTAAGCATTGCAAGCAAGTTGGACATAACATTCGTACATGTCCATTGAGACTAAGACAAGCATGATTACGTATTGTTTTTGTGTAGTACTTTGTTTTGTAATGACAATCACTTTACGTATTGTTTTGTTTCCTTGTACCCTAAACTTTATCTTGTATTAGTTATGTATTGTGTTGTTGAAATGTATTGTTGAACTGTATTCTTGTGTTGTTGAAATGTATTGTTGAAATGTATCCGTTAAGTTTAGCGAGTCACTCGTTCCGTATTGTGCAATCCGAATGTCTACCATACCCCAGCACCTGCTGCTGCATCTGCAACTGGTCTACCCGGGTAAGTCGTAATGATATACCCGAGTACATACTTACCCTGGTAGACTATTCGTGGTACCCGGGTAGACCAGTTGCAGATGCTGTTGCAGATGCTGTTTTGGCAATTTTTGTTGCATTTTGGTAATTGTTGTGCAATACCTACATACGGTATGAAGTCAAAGTTGAAAATGAATAATAAACTATTGATTTCCAAATTAATTATGACAATATTAATGCAAGTCCCATACTAATGCATCAAGTCTGAACGTGCGCAAAACGTGAACATCCGCCATCCATCAAAGTTGTACCAAAATGACTACATTACATCAAACTATGAAACCCTATGGACACACTAATCCGATGTCCTCCCCATTCTCTTCATGATTGTGTGTCATCCCCATTGTCATCCTCCTCCTCCTCCTCCTCCTCCTGTGGGCACCCTCGCCAATTAAACCCTCCAAGCGTGAAACCCTTGTGTCCAACCGTGCAACCCTTGTGTCCATCTGGTTTCGCCACTTGCTCGTGCTCTGTCTATATCCTCTAAAGTCAGTAGTCAGATCATATAAGGATGCCATGACAT